CCCAGGCTCCTGAATTAACTGGGCTCATTATTAATCTTGAGGGATCAGCTAAAATGCCACTTATTCAAAAAGGCATCGCCTTCAGCAACCTGTCTTTCTCATCCCTCTATTTCCTTCATGGCACTTTGCACACTATATTTATTGGGGCTTGCCCCTGGATGCAGCAGGTAAGTCACAGCCTGTAGTGCTAGCATCCCATATGGGCACCAGTTCCAGTCTGGTTGCTCCACATCTGATCCAGCTCTCTGCTATTGGCCTGGGAAAGCAGCAGATGCTGAACCAAGTCTCTGGGCCCCTGCATGTACTGAGAGACCCAAAGAAGCTCCTGGCTCTTGGCTTCCCTTGGTCGTTGTGATTCTTTGGGGAGTGAACCAGCAGATGGAAGATCTCTCTCTCTCTGTCTCTCCCTCTCTCTAACTCTGCCTTTCAAATAAATACTTTTTTCAAATAAAAGAGAACAAGTAAAAGACACAATTACAATATGCCTTACCAATTGTACTCCTGGGCATTTATACCAAAGAAATAAAAACTTAAGCTCACACAAAAAATATATTCAGATGCTCATAACTGCTTTAGTAATAACAGCCAAAAACTAGACACAATCCAAATGCCTTTCAAGATGAATGGTTAATTCACAATAGCCACAAAAACAATAAAGTACCTTGGAATAAATTTAACCAAGGAGGTCAAAGACCTCTATGATGAAAATTACAAAACACTAAAGAAAGAAATAGAAGACGACACAAAAAAATGGAAAAACCTGCCATGCTCATGGATTGGAAGAATCAATATCATCAAAATGTCCATTCTCCCAAAAGCAATTTACAAGTTCAATGCAATACCAATCAAAATACCAAAGTCATTCTTCAAAGACCTAGAAAAAACAATGCTGAAATTCATATGGAGAAACAGGAGACCCAGAATAGCTAAAGCAATCCTTTACAATAAAAACAAGGCCGGAGGCATCACAATTCCAGACTTCAAAGCATACTACAGGGCAGTTATAATCAAAACAGCCTGGTACTGGTACAAAAACAGATGGATAGACCAATGGAACAGAATAGAATCACCGGAGATCAATCCAAACATCTATAACCAACTCATATTTGACAAAGGACCTAAAACCAAGCCCTGGAACAAGGACAGCCTCTTCAACAAATGGTGCTGGGAAAACTGGATGTCCACATGCCGCAGTATGAAGCAAGACCCCTACCTTACACCTTATACAAAAATCCACTCAACATGGATCAAAGAACTAGAGTTGCGCCACGACACCATGAAACTAATTGAGAGCATAGGGGAAACCCTCCAAGATATCGGAATAGGCGAAGAATTCCTGGAGAAGACCCCACAGGCACGGGTAATCAAAGATAAAATAAACAAATGGGATTACCTAAAATTGAAGAGTTTCTTAACAGCAAAGGAAACAGTCAGGAAAGCGAAGAGGCAACCAACAGAATGGGAGACGTTATTCGCAAACTACACAACAGATAAAGGATTAACAACTAGAATCTACACAATGATCAAAAAACACCACAGAATCAAAACAAACAACCCAATAAAAAAATGGGCCAAGGACCTTAACAGGCATTTTTCAAAAGAGGAAATCCAAATGGCCAACAGGCACATGAAAAAATGCTCAGGATCCCTAGCCATCAGGGAAATGCAGATCAAAACCACAATGAGATACCACCTCACTCCGGTTAGATTGGCTTACATACAGAAATCAACCAACAACAGATGCTGGCGAGGATGTGGAGAAAAGGGGACACTAATCCACTGTTGGTGGGAATGCAAGCTGGTAAAGCCACTATGGAAGACAGTCTGGAGAGTCCTCAGAAACCTGAACATAGCACTACCACAGGACCCAGCCATCCCACTCCTTGGAATATACCCAAATGGAATTAAAGGGGTGAAAAAAGCCATTTGCACCTCAATATTTGTTGCAGCTCAATTCACAATAGCTAAGACATGGAATCAACCTAAATGTCCATCAACGGATGACTGGATAAAGAAACTATGGAATATGTACTCTATGGAACACTATACAGCAGTAAAAAACAACGAAATCCAGGCATTCACAACAAAATGGAGGAAGCTGGAAAACATCATGCTGAGTGAAATAAGCCAGTCCAAAAGGGATAAATATCACATGTTCTCCCTGATTGATGGCAACTAAACGAGCACCTAAAATGATACCCATTGAAGTGAAATGGACACTATGAGAGACAATGACATGAGCAGCCCTTGTCTAGACTGTTGAGGAAAAACTTACTATTTTGTTCCTTTAGTATTTTTGTTGTTGTTGTTGTTGCTCGGTATGCTCTACACAAGACCACTGGTTGAACTCTGCAATCAATGCACAACCATTCTTAAGCGTTTAAAAATTAATAGGAAATTGATCTCTGTGGAACATGGGAGTGGGAATAAGAGAGGGAGGCGATATATAGGACAGCACATACTCAATCAGACCTACCTCCAATGGTGGAACTGGAAATGTGCCAGGGGATTTCAACTCAATCTTACCAAGGAGGCAGGCACCAATGCCAGCACACTTGGTAAAGAGACAAATATAAATACACAACTGATCCAAGAGATAGGGTAAGTGTCGAAGAGAGTACACAAATAAGACCAGTGTAAGCAAATAATGAAAGATAGAATCAAAAGGGTTGAGAATGAGCCTGCGGGGGAAGCAGGTCACACAGCAGACTCATAGAATGGCAAATGCCCAAAACAGCACTCCTGCCTCAGAATCAACACTTGGGACATTCGGATCTGACTAAAAGGTCCATGAGAGTCTCGCAGGCATGGAAAGCCATGACACGGTGGCAAAAAAACAATCTAAATGAAGGATCCTGGCGAACAACACTCCAGCAGAAGGATCAGGCCATCAAGGAGAGAGGCGCCTTTCTCTGAAGGGAGGAAGGAACCTCCACTGTGATATGGCCTTGACTAAACAAATACAGAGTTGGTGAACTCAAGGGGCCTCCATAGCCTAGACAGCTCATAGCAAGAGTCTCGGGTGATTGCTGACGTCATAAATAAGAGTGCCAATTGTTAAATCAACAACGGAGTCACTGGGTTCATGCTCCCCTCGCAGGATCTCTGTCCTTAATATGTTTATCTATGAAACTCAAAAACAACACTACTAGTCGAACAATACCCTATACCTGGTTCGGTTGTGTGAGTGCAACCTGTTGAAATCCCTGCTTAGTATAGACTAAATTGATCTTCGGTATATGAAGGTAACCGAAAATGAAACGTGATGAAGGGGGGAGAGGGGAGAGGAAGTGGGTGAGGGGAGGGCCATGGGAGGGAGGGAGGTCGGGGGGAAGCCACAACAATGCAAAAGATGCATTTTATATTCTACTTAAAACTATTGGTTGAGCTATGTAATTAATACACAATTACTCTTAGGTGTTTAATTAATGCTATAACTAGTACTCAAATAGTATTTTACACTTTATGTTTCTGTGTGGGAGCAAAATGTGGTAATCTTTACTTAACATACGCTAAATTGATCTTCTGTATATAAAGATAATTGAAAATTAATTGTGATGTGAAGGGGAAGGGAAGAGGGAGTGGGAGAGGGGAGCATTGTGGATGGGAGGGAAGACACGGGCGGGGGGGGGGAGGAGGCTATTGTGGTCCATAAGCTGTACTTTGGAAATTTATGCTCATTAAATAAATTAAAAAAAAAAAAAGATGAATGGTTAATCTGTGATATACCCATACCATGAAATAGTACTCAAAAATAAAAAGGAATAATCTATTGACATACAGTCATTTTCCTGAATCTATGGGTTCCACATTCAACGGTTCAACCACCTATAGGTAAAAAATATTTGAAAACATATTGCCAAATGATAGGTAACATTCTACTCATATAAAATCATTGAAGTGACAGTAAGATTGAAATAGCAAAAAAATTAATGGTTGTTAGGGGTGAAAAATGGGAGAATGGAAGTTGTAGGGACAGTTTGTGGCTATAAATGGGAAAGATAATGAATATTTTTGGCTGGGGCCCACGCTGTGGCATAGGGGATAAAACCACTGTCTGCAGCACTACTTTGTGTCCTGGTTTCTCCACATCTGATCTAGCTCTCTGCTAATGTGCCTGGGAAAGCAGCAGAGGATGGCCCAGGTCCTTGGGCCTCTGCATTCATGTGGGAGACCCGGAAGAAGCTCCTGGCTTCTGGCTCAGCTCCAGCATGGAAGCCATTTGGGGAGTGAACTAGTGGATCGAAGACTCTCTCTGTGCATTGTCTCTACCTCTCTCTCTGTCTTTCAAACAAACATTTTTTAAAAAAGAATATTTTTGGTGATAGAAATGTGATTTCATAAGATATAGCTGGAAGACATTGGTTGATAAGTCACATGGAATATCTCTGTATCTGTTGTAGTATACATGTAAATCTGCAATTATCTCAAAATAAAAAGTTTAATTCAAGAAATTTAGATGCCACTGAAGCTGACTTGAGAGATTTATAGTACTAAAAGCACATATTACAAAAAAGAGTTCTCAAATTATTTTGTCTGCACAAGAAACTAAATGATCAAACAAAAACTCGAAATCACAGTAAGCAAAAGGGAAAAAATTATCACAGTAGAGAACAGTGAAATAGAATATATGAAAAAATATAAAAGCAATGAATCAAAGTTTTTTCTGAAAATCAATGCAATTGATATACTTTTAGTAAGACTGATCAGGAAAAAAGAGAAAAGATAAATTACTAATAAATTAAATAAATTATATAAATAAATTAAATTATAATTATATAATTATATTAAATTATATAAATAAATTTAATATAAATAAAGAAAGGGTACTTTAATTCCTACTGTCCTCAAAGGTACTGAAATATGCCAATACATTTCGCAACGTGGATTTTCACAATAGTTTCAAAAAAATTTAATTGCTCATGTTTTACTCACCTGATTGTTGAAAGAAATGTAATGACTATTAATATAGTGAGTAACAAACCAAAAATTAAGGATACATTCGTATAGCACCTGTTCCTGTTCCAATAGCCAAGATTTTCTGAACTGGATCAAAGGCTAATGCTGTGGGCTGATAAGGAAAACCATGTCGAACTGTCTGAAAGAGAAACAGTAAAAACAACCAACAGTAAAATAAAAAATAAAATCATTGCAAGATACCATTGTATACCCAAATGACTAAAATTATTTTTAAAAGGAAAAAAGAGCAACCACCAAATTTTTATAAGATATAAAACAACCTAAACTCTCATATATTGTTGGCAGAATTGCAAAATAGAATTGCAAAATTATACAACCACTTTGCAAAAATATCTTGGAGTTTCTTGTCAAAATCTATACCTGTCCATTGACCCATCAATTCTATTCCTATGTATGCACTTAGTAAAACTGTCCACTAAACAATTTATATAAGTATTCCCCTAGCACCTTTATTTCACAATTGTAAAATGTTGGAAATAGCCCAGCAGTCCATCAACAGGAAAATGGAAAAACTATAGTATAATCATATAATTAAATACTAGTCAATAATTAAGTATACAAACTACTTACATGTGCAACATGGATGGTTCTCAAAAACATTATGCTAAGTAAAAGAAGCCATTTACCAAAGTACTTATAAAGTATGATCACATTTATATTAAGTTACAAGTAAGCAAAATTAATCTATGGTTAAAAAAAAATAGAATAGTGACTTCCTTGAGGACTGACTGTGAAGGGTTATGAGGAACATTATAATTGACAGTGGTTCTGATCACACAAGTGGATACATTAGTCAAAATATCAAACAGTACAGTAAAATTTGTGATTTCTCTTTAGGTAAATTGTACCTCAAAAAAGTGAGGAAACAAGTAATATAAATAAGCAGTAAAGTCTAATTAACATTATGCATTCTGTAGTGTTGAGGGGTAAAAAGTACTGACATATGCTACTTGGAAACACATTAAGAATAATATACATAAGTGGGTAGATGAATGGATAGAAATAAGGTAGAACTTTAAAAAAATTCATGGAAAAATAGAATTAAAATATAATATAGGAGTAGGCATTTGGCCTACTGGTTAAGACATCTAAGTCCCATATCAGAGTATCAGGTTTGATTTTTGGGTCCGGCTCTAACTCTAGTGCCCTAAAACAGACCCTGGGAGGTAATTGGATTCCTACCATTCATACCTAGATTATGTTCCCAGATACTAGCTCCAGCCTTAGTTCTTGTGGCCATTTGAGGAATGAACCAGCAGGCAGAAGCTCTATCTTTTCCCTCTGTATCTCTCAAATAAATAAATTTATAAACAAATAACACAAAATTTCCATGACTTTTCTGAAGACCTCTCATATGTAATATAGAAAAATAGCAAAATGATAACTGTCAAATCTAGGTGTTGAGAATATACATTGAGTGCTCACAATATGATTCTTTTAACTTTTCTATATGTTTGAAAGCTTTTATAAATAATGCAATGGAAACATAAGAGAAAATATAGAGCTCATAATTTTTTGTAAAAAAAAAAACAATGTGAAAGACTATACAACATTAGACAGAAATCAATTTCAACAGGGAGTATACCGTAAATTTTCATAGAAAGAGAAGACCCAAATAGGTCAGAAAAAAAAAATACTTACTCCCCATGTAGGATCTCTGTCCTTAATGTGTTGTACTATTTGAATTAATGGTATAACTAGTACTCAAACAGTACTTTATACTTTGTGTTTATGTGGGGATGCAAACTGTTAAAATCTTTACTTAGTATATACTAAGTTGATTTTCTGTATATAAAGATAATTGAAAATGAATCTTGATGAAGAATGGGATGGGAGAGCGAGTGGGAGATGGGATGGTTGCGGGTGGGAGGGAAGTTATGGGGGGAAAAAGCCACTATAATCCAAACATTGTACTTTGGAAATTTATATTTACTAAGTAAAAGTTAAAAAAATAAAATAAACATTGTTGGCAGCAAAAAAAGAAAACACATGTTGCAACAAAAACAAAAAAAGAAAAAAAAATTTCTATATCTAGTTCAACCATGTTTTAGAAGTCCACTATTTTAAAGGAAATATTGATAGTAAAATACGGCATTTTATGTATTCAAAAGCAAAAAGATAAACTACAAATACTTCCTCTAAAACTCATTCTCCTGAGAATGCACTAGAACAAGTTCATTGCATGACTTCCTCATTTTTTTTAAGATTTATTTACTTAAAGATAGAGAAAGAGATAGGGAGAGATACAGAAAAAATATCTTCCATCTGTTGGGTTACTCCCCAAATGGCTGCAACAACCTGGACTGGCCCAAGCCAATCAGGAAGCCAGAACTCCATAGAGTCTCCCACAGAGGTGGCAGGGCACAAGCACCCAAGTTTATAGTGCTTTCCTAGTTGCATTAGCAGTGAACTAGACTGGAAGCTGAGCAGCCAGGACTTGAACTGGCACTCTGAAATGAGATGCTGTTATCATTAGAGGCAGGTTAAAGGCCAGCTCTCTGCTGTGGCCAGGGAGTGCAGTGGAGGATGGCCCAGGTGCTTGGGCCCTGCACCCCATGGGAGACCAGGAAAAGCACCTGGCTCCTGGCTCCTGCCATCGGATCAGCGCGGTGCGCCGGCCGCAGCGCGCCAGCCGTGGCGGCCATTGGAGGGTGAACCAATGGCAAAGGAAGACCTTTCTCTCTGTCTCTCTCTCTCACTGTCCACTCTGCCTGTAAAAAGATAAAAAAAATAAAAAATAAATAAAAAATAAAATAAATAAAATAAAATAAAAAATAGAGGCAGGTTAACTACTACACCATAATGCTGACTCCCCTCGCCCCCTCCAACCATGTTCTTCAAAGCATATAAACATATGCATATGCATATTACATACTGTACATACAGATATTTAATTATTTCTACTCAACAATACACACAGAAATACTTCCATAAAGTTGTGTGTAGACATCAACCTATCTAAACTTTGAACTTACTAAAAGTTTGCACAGCTTATTATAGTATAAATAAATCATGATGTTCTTAACCAACTAACTACTATTTTCTAACTCTTAACTGAATCAGTATTGGGAAAGACAGTGTTATAACTTTTCTTTTTGCTTATTCATTTTAGAGTCATTGATAAAGAGAGCTCCCATCTACTGGCTCACTTTCCAAATGTTCTCAGTGGACCAAGGCCAGGGCAAGAACCAGAAGCTGGAGACTCAATCTAGGTCTCACATGTCAGTGACAGGGATCCAACTACTTGAGCCACCACCTGCTACCTCCCAGGGTCTGCATCAGCATTGAGAACCAAATCCAAGCACTCCAATATAATATAAAGGTATTTTAACCCATATATAAACTGCTATACCAAATGCCTGTCCCACACACAGTCTTCTGGATCCCCACTTGGCCACATATGAATCCAGATGGGCCTTAAACACTTCCTTTCTAAGATATAAATAAATAGCGCAGCCAGCGCCGCGGCTCAATAGGCTAATCCTCCACCTAGCGGCGCCGGCACACCGTGTTCTAGTCCCAGTCGGGGTGCCAGATTCTGTCCCAGTTGCCCCTCTTCCAGGCCAGCTCTCTGCTGTGGCCAGGGAGTGCAGTGGAGGATGGCCCAAGTCCTTGGGCCCGGCACCCCATGGGAGACCAGGAGAAGTACCTGGCTCCTAGCTTCGGATCAGCGTGGTGCGCCAGCCATTGGAGGGTGAACCAACGGCAAAAGGAAGACCTTTCTCTCTGTCTCTCTCTCTCACTATCCACTCTGCCTGTCAAAAAAATAAATAAATAAAATAAATAAACAGCCCAAATGGCTTGTGCTGGATTCATTGCCTTGTGTGGGAATATTGTTCTCCATTGCAAGTCCAATCACTGTTCCTTGTTCAGCTTAAGCATGTGGACAACCCCATTGCTCTAATCACCACCAAAGGGAAGGGAACAGGTTCATCTACTGTGGCACAGGAGTGTCTATGGTCAAATGCCCTGAATCAGCTGGCAAGAGAGACCTGCTTGCCATAGGGAAACAGCACACATTATTAAAGCTGATCTTGCTTTTTTAAGTAAATGGTTGCTACATTCAGTGATTGTTTTGTTTTCCTTGGCAACTCTGATTCAGGGGGTAGAGTATTTGGACTTACACTACTGGTGACTGGCATAGTGATGATCTTTCTGTCTCCCAAATAGTCGGCATGCTCCCAGAGGCTGGTAACCAGCATAAGATGTTCTCTTCTTTTGGGATTGATAAAAAGTGCATGGTATTCTGCTTAACAATTAGTAGAAATATTTATCCATAAGACCTATTTTTTAGGCATGGTTTTTAACTGGGGTGTTTGCCTCCTGATTCTGATATACTGTCCTTGGATTTCACAATAAAACTGTCAAGAAGAAATCCAGGGACCAGCACTGTGTCGTAGCAGGTAATGCCTCTGTCTGCAGTGCTGGCATCCCATATGGGCACCGGTTCAAGTCCCGGCTGCTCCACTTCCCATCCAGATCTCTGCTATGGCCTGGGAAAGCAGTAGAGGATGGTCCAAGTACTTGGGCCCCTGCACCCACGTGGGAGACCCAGCAGAAGCTCCTGGCTCCTGGCTTCACCTTGGCGATTGGTGCAGCTCCAGCCATTGCATCCATCTGGGGAGTGAACCAGTGGATGGAAGACACCTCCCTTCCTCCCTCCTTCCCTCCCTCCCCCACCCTTCTCTCTCTCTCTCCTTCTCTCTGTGTAACTCTTTCAAATAAATAAATCTTAAAAAAAGAGAAATCCATATTTTGCTGGCAGAGCAATGTGGATTATAGATATCAGAATATAGTTCCTTTTCAAAAAATCGAAGAGATGAAGATACTTCTCAACTCATTCTACAAGGTTAATTATTACCCTGATAGGGGCCAGTGCTGTGGCTTGGCAGGTAAAGTTGCCACCTGCAGTGCTGGCATCCCATATGGACACCGGTTCAAGTCCTGGCTGCACCACTTCTGATCCAGCTCTCTGCTATGGAGTGGAAAAGCAGTGGAAGATGGCCCAATTACCCTTGTGACCCCTGTACCCATGTGGGAGATCCAGAAGAAGCTCCTGGCTCCTGGCTTCAGATCTGCCCAGTTCTGGCCACTGCAGCCATTTGGAGAGTGAAATAG